AAAACATAATGTGTTAAACAAATTACTTGTTTGTATCCGAAAAGGACAAAGTTTGCTAAATAAATGTCTAAAACTGTATGAATGAATAAAATTATATATTTTTTGTTTTGTTTGTCAAATACACAGACGATTTGTATTCGCCCCCTCCTGTCGAGGGGTCAGCGCCAAGAGATCGGCACAAATGAGAAGTTATAACAGCCATCGGTTAGTCTCTCTCTCTCTCAATCAAATTCATGCACACAATTATCTCTCCTATAATCTTATCGATCATTTAATTTGAAATATTCCCATATTTTTTGTTGATTATGACGTTTGGAAAAATGCATTCAATGGTTGACAACAGAGGAATGAGTGATGACTTTCCACAAGAAAGACATAGATTTGAAACAGAATTTGGAGGAGAATTAGCGCCGATTGAGTCGCGAAGGTTTAGAAAGCGTTTCACAGATTTACTCAAAGCTAATCTATTGAGAAGAAACCGATCCAAAGACCCGGTATTTATCCTCTTATTAATACCAAGATTTTTGTTTATAAACCTATGGTTTAAATACTTTACTTTCTTATTATAAGTTTTTTAATAAATTTGATTTTCATTTACATTTTCTGTTATTGTGTTTAAACATTGCTTTAGACTCAGTATAACTTGTTGTTGAATTCAATGGACGAACTGATGGCACCGCAAAGTTTAGAGACTGAAAGCCAATAAAAATTAATTAATAATTAATTATTTAAAACGGATTTTGTTAAGAAAGAAGCGACAAATTTGTAATAATAATAATATTAAATATGATCTCAAATGGACTTTAAAACTAAAAGCAAAGTCTTATTCAGACAACAATCATATTAAAAAAGTAAAGACTAATAATTTTGTTTTGATTCTTGTTTTTGTTATCAATTCTTGTATTATATGTTAAAGTGAGTTAAGAATTATGAATTGTTATGTATTTTTAGTTTCATTATAATATTAATACATAAATAAGTTAATGAAAACACAATTCTGTGTAAAAATTTAAATTAACATAAAAAGTTTTGTCAAAACATAATTTATATACATTTTTCTTATAGTTTATGTTAAATATTATCACAAATTATAATATTTTATTTTAGTAATGCAATAAAAAAAT